TTACTCACAAATGCATGTGCAAGAACCAGTCTTGGAGAAAAGGAAAGCGTGGGCAGGTGGGGGTAAGGGCCAGGCAGTGTGGGTGTTCCTGTCCCAAAGGGTGATAAATTTGAAAGAGGAGCAGGTTTTCAGTACCTCCCCCCCACACTTGCTCAGTAATCAGATACCCACTTCACAGGGGACCAGTTCTTGACAAGTATGGGGATTTTCAGAGGCTAAAAAAAAACTGGGGGGGGATCGCCTCAAAAGTATGTGGTAGCTGGAGAACTTGGTTAATGGGGTGCTTTAGGAGCACAAAATTACTCACAGACTGCGTGCCCATTTATGACCTTCTTGGATGTAATTACGCTCATCCACTTGGCACATAATCTTCATTAGTTCTGTTCTGATATGCTTTAAGAATGGTGAGTACCAGGATCAGCCTCACTTAGATGAGAGAAGGAAACAGGTGTCAGTGCATAGTGGAAGAAACTTGAGAAGAATCTAACCACACATAGAATCTAAGGGAACACTTCAGTGCCCCATTCTAACAGAAGACTCTAGAAAGGTATGGATTTTGTATACAGAATAGGGGAGGGAAAAAAAAAAAGGCACCAGGAATAAGTACTTCTGTTTCATTTCAAAGTTCATAAGCAGAATGTGTTTGGGGCAGAAAATGCCAGACTGCCTGCTACAAAGCATGCTCTGAGATAACAGTGTAGGAGTGATGTGTTTTGAGGCTACATAGGGCCTTTTTACAGTAAGAAACATAGGACTGCTATTCCCCTCTGGAAGTGGAAATGCCAGAAATTGTAACTAAGAAAGCATTTGAACACAGCTACTTGTCTGCCGTTTGCTTGTAATAAAAGGATATCCCATTGACTCTATAAGAACCACACCATCTTTTATGGGAAGAATTCAAGCAGAGAGGTCACGCTGAAGGTTTTACCCAATAGGCACAATCTCTTCTTGTTCCCCAGAACTTTGCATAATTCTGGTTCCAATCTGTGCTGTTAACGAGTCTTTCTTTGGGGAGACTATTCCTTATTCCAGTTGATAGTTGAAGGTAGAAAGTGCTTCCTGAGATGAGTACATACAAGTATAGCTCACCAGCGCTCTGGCAGGTACACACACACACACAAAAGTTTTTTGTTTTTTTAATGAAAGGCTGGTAAAGAAAGGAGGGGCCCATCAAACCTTAGAAATCCAGGTTGGCTCATTAGCCTTCTGCCCACCTGATTTTTGACACGCTGCCTTTCCTGTCTGTGCAGAAAGGCAGTCGGGTTTGTGCCACATAGTCCTTTTGTCAGTCTGCCTCTGCCTCTCCACTGCTAACAAAAGGCCACATCATCTTGTAATTCTCAGGTGATCGAGAGACTAGGTTGTTAATGGGAGGGAGAAGCTTTGTCCTCCTTCCTGACCTGCTCCTCTAAAGATTCAAGAGAAAGGAAAACTGAATTTTAATATGAATGACAGACTAATTTTTGTTATTCTTTCTTGACTGCCTGCCTTCCACAAACATGTCATTTCAGGTCCAGACTGTGAGCTGTGACCAAGCTGCAGGGGGGCAGGCTGTCTGGAGTCAAGAGCTGGGCTAGTACTGAGGACAGAAGGGAAGTGTTTTCGTTATTTTAACCCAAGAGAGTTTAATATAGACAAATATCAAAGATGTCTCCTTGAAGGAAAAGCTGGACAAGCTCAACAGAATAGAGGGTACAGGTAGGCAAAAATGTTGTGTCCTCTCCTGCCCCACGCACCACTGACAGAACAATAGCTCCCAGGAAAACCTCTGGGGGGCAACAGGGCCTAGCCAATAGTTTCATGTTTACTAACACCAGGCCTCACTCACAGAGTGACACGGTATTCACCAGAACACAGATAATCTGTTTTTGGAGCTCCTGGGTGAGGAAGACAGAACAGCACCTAATCTACGTAAAATTTAAGACAATTCCTGCCAGTAGGACATTACCCTGCTGATTAAAAGGAGTTCAGCATTGTTCTGAGGGAGGAACCCATAGCATTTCTGACCCAGTGGCACAAGCTGCACAGCTGGATTTTCGGCATCAGTCGGTCTCAGTGCTTTCCCAAGCTCTGGCCTCTGTAAGCTGGTCTACTTGTACTACTTTAGTGCAAATTTTGAGCTCCAGCCCTCTGAAGGTATAATGCTACTGACACAATCCCTTCAGAATCCCTTTTAGAAGGAACTTTCTGTCTTTCTTGCTTGGTCCTGCCTCATCTGTGCCAAGGCTAAGAGTGTTTTCAATCTGATCTTTTATCCCTGCTGTTGAAGGACTATGGAAAGGGCTCATTAGCACATACTTCATCGCAGTGGGTCATTCCATTCATTTCCATACATCTAATGATGCAACATGTGCTTACTCACCTCAGCAATGCTCAGGTCCTTAAGGATGCATTAGGCCCTTAAAGAATTGAGAACTGCAAAGCCTGCAGTAACAGGGGAAGGAGACACACATTTTGGGGCTAAAAATTGCTATTATTTGACCTTCTAGGGAAGAATGGTTGAAACTACGTGGGGGTTAGGCTAGACATGAACTGGATAGCTATTCCAGCTGAAAAAAAAAAGCTGCAAGAAGAGCAGAATGAGTGATATTGTATGTACTCTACAAATCATTCCCAACAGATATTTTAAAAGGCACATCAACTCTGGGCATTCATGGGCAGCATATCCGGTTTGCAGACTGAAGGTGTCACAGGGCAGAGGGTCCATATCCAGCTCCCTGAGGAGCCCCTGTAAGTATCTACACCTCACTTCCTATGGCATTCCTTGTGCCTGGATGTTTTGTGGAGTTACCTTCCCAAGATATTTTATATATATCATTTATTTACAACTACTGCAGCTGTAAAATGCTAATCCTTTTACTCGGCGTGTCCCTAGGCAAACCGTGTCACCTCTGATGGCTCAGTTCTGCAGTTTTAAGAGAAAGGCAAGAATGCTTATGGAGTCTTTGGTGCTTGGAGGGAGAATCTCCAGCTAGATGATTTTATCAATAAACATTATTAGAAGAATGTTTATTATTTTGCCTGATGGATGCTGCAGAGGCAAGTATGTGGAGCCCATTTTCATTGCCAAAAGACAATTTTCTATGTGAATCAAATGTTTTCATTTGTACACAATTCCCCTTGTCCTGCACTCCCACACCTCAGATGTTGACACATTCATATTTTTTCTCCATTTTTACAAAGGGGTGTTTTTGGTGAGCTCATATAATACAAAAAAAACAGCATCATCCAGGTATCCTTGCAGGTCATGACAATGTACAGACCATGCAGATATATGACCATCACATCCATATGCTGCTGAATAAACTTTTTTTTTTCCCACATCTGGCAGGGGATCTTTTTTAGTACACACGTTAGCTAAGCCCACAATAGTAAGCAAACAGCCTAGAAGAAGCTGTCACTGTGCAGGCTATTACTGCAGTGAATGCATCCTAGGGCAGTAAACAGGCACACCAGGTACCAAAACAGTATGAGAATGGAGCCAAGAATCAGATGAAGGCTGTGATCTATGCTTTATCCCTCTGGCCCACTTATAACTGATTTCCCCTGCATTCCTGATTGTCTCCCTTCTGGGATTCTGTCCAGATTCTAAGTGAGAAACAAAGTCACCATTAATTAGGGGGTCAAGGGTGGACTCCATGTAGCCCCTCCAGGCAAGCAGCACTGCAAAGCAACACTTTCAACTGAGAGCTTGCACAGTCATGCTCACTAGCCTTCCTCCCCCCACCACTTACAGGGCACACTGGAGAGAGTGGGACTAGGGGCCAGCTCATATCACCTGGGGCTCATTTCTTATGATGACTCAGCTGGGGAGGAGGAGATATATGGATGCAAGGGAGGCTTGTCTTTGCAAGATTTTAACAGGGTAATAGAGTTAGTGTTTACTCCCTTTTCTTTTGTATACAGGTAGGTGTCTGTGTCATTTTTTTCTTCCCACGGTGGGGTTGGGGAGGGAAAATCTGTTTGCAATGTCACATGTTCTCTTTTCTTCCTCTGCTCATTGAGTTTCTACTTTTCTGGAAGGAAGCAGTTTTTTTTTGTTTGTTTGTTTTGTTTTTTTCCTTCTTCCTTGGATAGGAAAAACTAGTTTGAATGCTATCTTATGCAGGTGATTTCCTTTAGAATCTGACCAGGTAATTTGTATGTTCTCAGTAGCAAAAATAAGATAATTTTTACAAGCTCTTATTTCTTCTAAGAACAACCCCCTGCCCTACCCCCCAAAGTAAGTGTTATTTCACTGTGATCCTACAAAACAGGCCTGTGTCTGTCTCAACCTTGCGCTAGCCACTAGAGAATCTATTCAAAGAGTAACTTGTCTTTCCTTCAAGCCTTATGCCCTGCAATACAGACACTTCTCTGGAGCGGTGTGCCCCGCCGCTACCTGCCTTGTGCTCCCTCCCTCCCCTACCCAGTCTGTATTCATTTGTGAGGAGATGGAGTGCTTATCTGTTCGCGATGATGGTTGCGATCTGCAATGCAGGCCCGCATAGTCTTTGCATGCCCCGAGGGTACGAGAGCCTCTGGACTCCCCTCCATTCTTTGTGTTTGGGTGGGGAGCAGCGAGGAGGGTGGAGGTGAGGAGGAAGAGTGTTAAACGTGGACGTGGTGTGTGGGGGGGGAGTTGAGTCTGCCCAGCCTTGTCCAACTCACCAGACGGCTCTGCTCAGGTTCTAAGGTGAGAACAACACTCTTCCCTCCACCCCTCAAGCAGAGGGGGCTGTGCCAGAGGTAATGCCTCCTTCGTGGCACCTGGAAGCTGACCTGGGAAGCCTGTGCCCCAGCCCTCCCCCACCCCTGAAAACCCCGCAGTCCCTCCCCTCCAATCAAGTGATTTTTAACATGACAATGGCCGTGACAATTCCTTCTAGCCGAGGCCGGCCTGGGGAGGCCATAAAGCATCCCCCTCGCCTCCAGCTAATGGAGTACGTGCGTTGGGGCTACCCGGAGCGGGCGCGTCGCTTGCCAGCTCGCCGCCCCCTTGGCGCCGGGCGCTGCCGGCCATGAGCGCCCACCTGGCCCTGCCGCCCTTCCCGGGCGCGGTGAGGTATGGCGACTATTACTGGCCCTCTCCAGGCAGCATGGACAGCGCCTCGGCGGAGGAAGTGCCCGCGGCAGATGCCCTCCCCTTCTCCGCGGCGGAGAAGACCCCTCGCCACACCGGTAGGCACCCTGGCCTCCTGGCCCACGGGGAGCGAGCTGGATCCGCTCGGACTGGGGAAGGTGACGGCGCTGGGTTTGGAGGGCGCGAGCTCCGAGGCGAGAGCTCGGCTGGGCGCGGGGTGGTGAGCTCGCCTGTGCCCGTCGTGGCTG